TGTATCATCTTCTCATACCGATTCCGGCCGATCCTCGCGATCAGGAGCGTGGGGAGAGAAGCGGGTCGTGTGCTACTATGCTAACTGGTCCGTCTACCGGCAGGGCATTGCCAAGTTCTCTCCAGAGTATATCAACCCATATCTGTGTACTCACCTCATCTACGCCTTCGGCGGAATCACCGAAGACTACCAGCTCAAGCCCTTCGACAACTACCAGGATATCGAAAAGGGTACTTCCTAGAATGAATATTCGTTATATATAAAATCGCTCCAGAGTTAACCTTTATTCTCAACTTCTTGAAAATGTCTGTGTCCTCTATAAGTGTGTATGTTTTTTTTTTTTTACGAACTACATTTTTCAAAAGGGGAAATGGATGTTGATATCGTCCATGATTCTTCTAGCGTTCATCTGCACTATTGGAATACCGATACTGCATTTTATGATTCCTCAAGTCAAGGTTACTCATGGAAGTAAGGAAGATTTCAATATACTAGGTTGTAACGAAAGTTTTTGTGCATAAATCCTTTTTTCCAGAAATGACACAACAGTCGAAGCACGATTTTTTGTCACATAAATTTTGTACTTATGCACAAAAACTTTCGTTACAACCTGGTAATATTCTTCTAACTTAAATGAATTAGAAATCAAAATAAAAATAAAATTGGGAAGGAAAAAAAAACAGTCAAAATCCAGTCTATTAGCGCTCAACTTATGAATTTTTCGTAAGAGTTGGTACAGGCGAAAGATTAGGGGATATGACGAAAGAAGGGGGGGAAGAGAAACGGATGCCTGGAGTCGTCCTGCGTGGGAATCCTCTGTGGTCCACAACTGGGACAGCTTCACTCTACCTATCCCCTTCCTCTGTCAGTTCATGAATTTCATTTTTTTTAATTATAAGGTCGTTCGTGCACGGAATGGTTTTAAAACCATAAAGGTTTTAGATTACATTTTTACGATGCTGTAAAACTCAGGCAATATATGGAGTGATCTTCTCTCAAACGTTGACGGAAGCCCTTGAAGGAATGCAGGAATTTCTCTCTGAAAAATGATTGTTGTCCGCTCCAGACGGGTACAAGAAGGTCATAGACCTGAAGAAGCACAACAAGGGGCTGAAGGTGCTTCTGGCCGTGGGAGGCTGGAACGAGGGATCCGTTCGATGGTCGCCCCTCGTCGCGGACGCCGACCACCGGAAGACATTCATCCGGAGCGTCATCAGGTTCCTTCGTACTTATGACTTCGATGGTCTGGATCTTGACTGGCAATATCCTGCCTTCCGAGACGGCGGACGCCCCGAAGACAAGGATAACTACGCCAAACTCGTTCAGGTGCAGAATACTTTCTCCTTGTACGTGGTATGCCTATCAGCTCCAGCTAGCTGGAGTCTCGGCTTAAGAATTTTTCTCTGCGCAATAATCACCTGTTAGACGAGGGCAATAGGGCATACAAATTGCTAGCCCTGTGGCCGTGGAACCTTTCGTACAGGAAGAAAAAAAAAAGATGTAAAATTCAGAAGGAAAACCATTAATTTTGAGCTGACGGAGCGATGTGTGTGTGTGCTTGGAGTGCAGGAGTTGCAGGTATCGTTTGAGCGTGAGGCGAAGAAGAGCAAACGGGAGCGTCTGCTGCTGACGATGGCCGTCCCCGCAGGACAGGAATATATCAACAACGGATACGACGTGGCCACCCTCAACAAGTCTGGCTCTTGATTTTTCGTTTTTCTCTTATTACTTTTCTCTTCCTTGTAGGTCTGACGACATGCTTTCGCGTACCTGTCCTAACCTAATGATTTCACCATGCATTAATTGCATCACTCGCTCGGACGGTAAAATTGTAGGGTATGACTCCAGAAGGCGTTAGGGATGAACGGGGGGGAAAAAATTACAAAACCGAGGCGGGTAATGAAAAAGAGTAATTGCTGCGCTTTTCTTTCTCCGTGATTGGATCTCATCGCATTCTTTTCGTTTTCGAGGTCATGGAACTAATTCAGCTTGTGTTCCTCTTACTTTTATGTTGAAAAGCACGAAAAGCACAGGTTCCTCTTACTTTTCTATTATTTTTCTTCAAATTGAAACGATAGTTAATTAAATGGGATTGAGACAGAAAGTAGAAGTTAAGTCCAGACCAGGAGATGATAGATGGAGACCACAGAATCCCGGCCAAATTCGTCACACTATCCCAGTTACCCGTAAAATGAGGCAAACCGCAGAATCATGACTCTGAAGTAGAATTACAAAAAATAGATGAAGTTCCCACGGGAACCAAGCAATCATCTGTAAGGTCTTAGATTTTCTCTCTTTGAATCTCCTCCATTCACTGAATTCAATGCACCTGTTGTCATTCCACTAAGTTTTGCTTGAATTTCGACAAATTCAGTTAAAATAATTTCTGAGTTTGTATTGGAAAATGAATTCTCCATTCTCATTTCACCTTGGCTGTCGGAAACGGACAACTTGAATTATGAGTTTCTTTCCTTGTGTATTCCTTTAGGAAAGGCGTTGGTATCCATACAAGCATACATTATGATAATTTGCGATAACTCAAACNGGATGAAAGCATTTCCTGTCACCCCACGTAAGGCTCACTTATTTCACATCTCCGCATTTCTTTTTATGCAGATGTTGGTGCGAGGGTTGCTGTCCTTATCTTACCTCTTCTTCCTCTCCCGTGAGTCCCTCATCTATTGCTTTTGTCTTCCGAATCTCCATGTATCATCTTCTCATACCGATTCCGGCCGATCCTCGCGATCAGGAGCGTGGGGAGAGAAGCGGGTCGTGTGCTACTATGCTAACTGGTCCGTCTACCGGCAGGGCATTGCCAAGTTCTCTCCAGAGTATATCAACCCATATCTGTGTACTCACCTCATCTACGCCTTCGGCGGAATCACCGAAGACTACCAGCTCAAGCCCTTCGACAACTACCAGGATATCGAAAAGGGTACTTGCTAGAATGAATATTGAATGGATATTCATTATATATAAAATCACTCCAGAGTTAACCTTTATTCTCAACTTCTTGAAAATGTCTGTGTCCTCTATATGTGTGTATGTTTTTTTTTTACGAACTACATTTTTCAAAAGGGGAAATGGATGTTGATACCGTCCATGATTCTTCTAGCGTTCATCTGCACTATTGGAATACCGATACTGCATTTTATGATTCCTCAAGTCAAGGTTACTCATGGAAGTAAGGAAGATTTCAATATACTAGGTTCTAACGAAAGTTTTTGTGCATAAATCCTTTTTTCCAGAAATGACACAACAGTCGAAGCACGATTTTTTTGTCACATAAATTGTGTACTTATGCACAAAAACTTTCGTTACAACCTGGTAATATTTTTCTAACTTAAATGAATTAGAAATCAAAATAAAAATAAAATTGGGAATAAAAAAAAACAGTCAAAATCCAGTCTATTAGCGCGCAACTTATGAATTTTTCGTAAGAGTTGGTACAGGCGAAAGATTAGGGGATATGACGAAAGAAGGGAGGGAAGAGAAACGGATGCCTGGAGTCGTCCTGCGTGGGAATCCTCTGTGGTTCACAACTGGGACAGCTTCACTCGACAGACCCCCTTCCTCTGTCAGTTCATGAATTTCATTTTTTTTTAATTATAAGGTCGTTCGTGCACGGAATGGTTTTAAAATCATAAAGGTTTTAGATTACATTTTTACGATGCTGTAAAACTCAGGCAATATATGGAGTGATCTTCTCTCAAACGTTGACGGAAGCCCTTGAAGGAATGCAGGAATTTCTCGCTGAAAAATGATTGTTGTCCGCTCCAGACGGGTACAAGAAGGTCATAGACCTGAAGAAGCACAACAAGGGGCTGAAGGTGCTTCTGGCCGTGGGAGGCTCGAAAGAGGGATCCGTTCGATGGTCGCCCCTCGTCGCGGACGCCGACCACCGGAAGACATTCATCCGGAGCGTCATCAGGTTCCTTCGTACTTATGACTTCGATGGTCTGGATCTGGACTGGGAATATCCTGCCTTCCGAGACGGCGGACGCCCCGAAGACAAGGATAACTACGCCAAACTCGTTCAGGTGCAGAATACTTTCTCCTTGTACGTATTATGCCTATCAGCTCCAGCTAGCTGGAGTCTCAGATTAAGAATTTTTCTCTGCGCAATAATCACCTGTTAGACGAGGGCAATAGGGCATACAAATTGCTAGCCCTGTGGCCGTGGAACCTTTCGTACAGGAAGAAAAAAATGAGATTTAAAATTCAGAAGGAAAACCATTAATTTTGAGCTGACGGAGCGATGTGTGTGTGTGTGCTTGGAGTGCAGGAGTTGCAGGTATCGTTTGAGCGTGAGGCGAAGAAGAGCAAACGGGAGCGTCTGCTGCTGACGATGGCCGTCCCCGCAGGACAGGAATATATCAACAACGGATACGATGTGGCCACCCTCAACAAGTCTGGCTCTTGATTTTTCGTTTTTCTCTTATTACTTTTCTCTTCCTTGTAGGTCTGACGACATGCTTTCGCGTACCTGTCCTAACCTAATGATTTCACCATGCATTAATTGCATCACTCGCTCGGACGGTAAAATTGTAGGGTATGACTCCAGAAGGCGTTAGGGATGATCGGGGGGAAAAAAATTACAAACCCGAGGCGGGTAATGAAAAAGAGTAATTGCTGCGCTTTTCTTTCTCCGTGATTGGATCTCATCGCATTCTTTTCGTTTTCGAGGTCATGGAACCAATTCAGCTTGTGTTCCTCTTACTTTTATGTTGAAAAGCACGAAAAGCACAGGTTCCTCTTACTTTTCTATTATTTTTCTTCAAATTGAAACGATAGTTAATTAAATGGGATTGAGACAGAAAGTAGAAGTTAAGTCCAGACCAGGAGATGATAGATGGAGACCACAGAATCCCGGCCAAATTCGTCACACTATCCCAGTTACCCGTAAAATGAGGCAAACCGCAGAATCATGACTCTGAAGTAGAATTACAAAAAATAAGATGAAGTTCCCACGGGAACCAAGCAATCATCTGTAAGGTCTTAGATTTTCTCTCTTTGAATCTCCTCCATTCACTGAATTCAATGCACCTGTTGTCATTCCACTAAGTTTTGCTTGAATTTCGACAAATTCAGTTAAAATAATTTCTGAGTTTGTATTGGAAAATGAATTCTCCATTCTCATTTCACCTTGGCTGTCGGAAACGGACAATTTGAATTATGAGTTTCTTTCCTTGTGTATTCCTTTAGGAAAGGCGTTGGTATCCATACAAGCATACATTATGATAATTTGCGATAACTCAAACTCTTGGGTGCTGAAGTGCTGCCGTAATTTCAACTTTCAAGTCTCGCTATGCAGTCAAATAAATATATTAGCTTAACCCTTTCAGACCCCGCGTCCACTCCAATGGACATTGCATTTTCATTGTTTCTATGGTAATTTCTTGGGATTCTCGTGACTTTGCGCCCCATATTACACTACAATGGACTCAATTATGCATGGCTCAATTCCGTCGGAGGCCTTCTCTCACTCGTCTGTTTTGTAATATTCAATTATGTAATTACATATAATATAATATATGGTATGATATGGTAGATTAATACAATATATAAATATGATATATACTGTACAGAACATAAAATTTAAATTAGCTAAAAATAAGCTTAAAAAATGCTAAAAAGTATATCATTCCGATAATGACCTTAATTCAGGTCTGAAAGGGTTAAAGATATATCACCTCTCAGCAATGACAATGTTTTTTCCCGATGGGGTACTTGAAGTGCAGGTTATACGTCCAGGGCTTCAAGCCAGAAATCGTGCAGGTGCCTCTTCGAAAGTGCAAATTCTTACCTGTTTTTTTTTTCTTTGAAACTACCAGTATTCCTAAAAAATTAAAGACAAGAAAGTTCTTATCTCAGTCGTTAGTTCTTGAGGAAAATGATAAAACTCCGAAATGGGAGGAAGTTCTTTGCCGTTTCCCAAATCCTATTCGACAATTGCCATGGAGTGCAATTTATAAGTAATTAACACCTTGTACCTTTGCAACTTAGACCCATAAGCTTCCCCCAAAACTTCCAAAGATGCAATGTATTCTTAATTTTTTAATATTGTCGTTGGGGGAGGGGGGGGGGGGGGGGGGTT